TTTTTTCGTAAAAAATTTCATTTTTTTGAAAATTTTGGCCCATTTGACCTTGAAGTAAAGGTCAAAGGTCAAATCCAAGGGTATATTTGAAATCTACACATATGACTTTTGGAAAGCCGTCTATAGAAATTTTTCCCATAACTCCTTCCGTAGGGTAGATAATTAGCATTTAATTTTGCCATTTTTAGACAAGGGTGCATTGTAATGAGTGCCACACCCAGACCCCAATACCGACAAAGCCCAAATTTTACGTGGAACGAGTTGAGATTATAGGTGACCTAAATCCATGAGATGGGTACGGGGGCCCTTACCATCTAGGAGAAGCGGTAACGGTAGCCGTCCGGCGGAGCCGGCGGAGCCGGCGGAACGATCCGGACGGGACCGAAACCACAATCTTCACACACAAAAATTGATTACAGATTAGCAATAATAATAGATTGCTGAAAAATCTCCATATTTGCAATCTCCAGATATGAAATTTTTCTGTGCTATTTTTAGAGCTGACTTTCATCTCAAAGGCTTTAGAAAAGCGAATATTTCTGCATTACATTTTGTGTTTGAATATTGAACAGAAATTGACAAAAGGGTATTGAACAATAGAAATTGTTTGACATAACCCAGATTAGGATCATGAATTGAAAACTGCACAATGGAAATTTAAGCTCATTGCAAATCCAAAATGGATGCAGTTAGAAGAAATCTGCAATATATATGTTCTAATGTCATTCCTTCCCAGAATTTCTGGACAGCAATGACAACATCAGGGCTGCTTGATGCTGCTGCAATCTCAGCATTTAAGGTAAATCATTTGAAAAACAAGTGATCCATTGAAATGCAGTTTATTTGTGTGGTAAAGACGGGCTTCTATCTAGGCAAACTGCTTGACGTGGGGAATACCTTGTTATCAAAGCTATTACAATATATCAAAAACTTGAATTCTGAGTGCTGTCACCTGTGTTTTTTTTTTTTTTCCTCACTTTCACAATATTTTAACCTCTGTCAAGGGGGTTATGTTTTTGCCTTTGTTGATTTGTTAGTTAACAGCCTAACTAAAATGTTATAGATAGAATATGAACTATTTCTGGATATGTAAGAAATTGGTTTACTTTGAAACAATTGGATTTTGGTGGTGATCCATTTATAATTAATTAACTAATTATAATGAAAACTGAGGCGCCTTAGCAGAAGTCTGCCCTCTCTGGGTGTTTTTCTTGGATCTTCTATTCTTTCTCTTCAGGAAAGAAGTGTTTCTTCACAGCAAGAGATGGCATTTTGTTTGCTATTTCTGACTTCAAAGAAAAGTCATAGCATTAAGGACTTCATCAAACTGGTTCAATCTACTCAGCCACAGCTACAACCAGATCAAGTGAAGCAAATGAAAGACTTCATGAAAGAAGGTATATAGTACATAACATATAAAAATTTTAACTGTTCAAACAATGAACATAAATTTCAAGTCCTTGCTTAAAGACAGCAGAGAGGAAATTTGTCTCTACCAATAACATTACACCATTCCTTACATTGGAACACAAAAATGTCGCATTACTGATGTGACTTCAGAACACTTTTGATGCTGGTTTAAAAACAATATCATACAATATTATTTTAGGATATTTCTAAAATTATTTTTTTCAGGATGGGAGGTATTCCGTGAACAAGTTATAAAAGTTCTCCTTAGTTTCATCCACACCGAAGTGGCCATTCACCATGAAGAGCAAACAAGAATGGAACCAGTCCTCAAACAGGTAGAAACAGAACCGATTCACAACAGTGAAGCAATTAGGAAGCTTGAGAAGGAAATCAGTGATTTGAGGGACAAAGTTCAGCATTATAAAACACTGTGGCGAAACAGTCAAGCAAAGCAGAGTCAAGAAAAGCAATCTTTGGCATATAATGCTTGGAAGAAAAACAATCCAATCAAACGAGCAGTACCTGTAGCAATTCAGACAGAAAACACTAGTCATGAAGATACTGGTACCATGACAGTATTAATGTCTGAAAACAAAGACATGCAGACCACAATGACTCTTGCCAACATTGAGAAATTGGAGCAAAAGATCAAATTGATGGAAGAAAGGTTCAGAAAACAGCTAGATACAAAAGAGCAAGAGATACAAACTGTTCCCACTTTTTCAGTGATGAACAAAATGGTTAGAGAAAAGACACAGAAACCAAGACGTCCTACAACAGCATATATACCTCCTCAAACCCAAAAGTCAAGCAAAAAAAGTCCTGTTAAATCAGTAAAACAACCTAAAGAAGAAATTGATAGTGGAACTCTGGAAGTAGATGAGCAGGGTGGGGCCTTGGAACTTTCAAATGCAGCATTCACCGTTCCTCCTGACTCAGTGGACGGTCATGTGACCATGAATGCTGCAACGTACCTCCCTAGCCAAGACCAAATCAAAGAACTAGAGCAAGGGCAAGTGTCTTCAGAAATCCAACCTGGAAAATGTATCAAACTGACAACAATGCCTTCCACTATAATAAAAAAGATCCTTGTTAAGTCTAAAATTCCACCAGATGCAAAATATCGGAGGTGTATGCCGCAAAGTTTTATGCTACACAAAACCAGAAAGAGAAGAAACCCTGGAGAAACACAGTATGAAGATGTTACCAGTACATGTGGCTGTAAGAAATCTGGTGCTGACATGGTGGAATACACCATCAATGGGTGTGGAGAATACCAAGAGTACTGGGCCATCAGAGTGGAGCTGAAAGATCAAGAAATTCACACACTTAAAGAAAAACTAGCAAATCTGAGAAACCTAGGTACTTGCATTTGTGACTTCACAGCTTTCATACCCCCAGCGCCACCTGTTAACAGACTTGTCATATCAGCCACAAATCAAGACCTGGCACGAAAATGCCCTAAAATAAAAGAGCTCAGACAGAAGAACATGATAGAAATTGACAATCAGCCTAGTTCTCACTCTATACACCACAAAGATCTTCTGATATTCAAAAAGGAACAGAAGACAGTGATGCTGAAAATGGAAGTTGACATGACCGAAATGAAAGCAAAAGGACAGAACTTCCAGCTTCCACTGGGGAAGGAGCCAATACCTACAGAAGTGTCTATACTTCACAGTCCACATTACTGTGTAACACATGAAAATGATCCAGTCATGCTATGCACCCTGACCTTTAGTGCTGCAAGCCTTGTTTCACCTTCTCCTTTATCTTACAGTAAGTATATCAATATGGTGAGTATATCAAACAGCTTAAGGGTCCTGACAGGTTTATGATCATCAAAATACCAAAAATGAGTTTTTTTCCTGCATCTAAATATTCACTAATCCCTCTTCCTTTCTTCTGAGTTAAAATATAAAATATTAGCATTTGTGTTTCTTGTTGCTAAGCATAAGCACATAATAATGGCTCGATCGTTTCAACTCTGAAAAATTGTCAGTTTTTCAATTTCATAATTTTGAAATAATTAAAAATACATTTTTATGTAACATCTTGGTTCTTTTACTGTATAAATTAGAACAATTAGGTAGTCTGCTTTTCAATTGTGTTGTTACCACTCAATAGGGATGTCCTAATATTAATAATTATTACTTAAAAAATAAAGTATCTGTTGAATTCAAATTTTTTTCAGTTGAAATGATCCAGTCAGTACCGTAAGGGCACTTTGGAGCATTTATTGTCAATTTAACACCTTTTTATTTTTAAATGTTGAACGTAGAACTATTGATTTTTTTGCCATATTGGAAGGTTTTATAGTATAAAACATCAAAAAGAAGTCAAAAATATGCCAACATGAAACAAAATGTGTGCTTCACTGCTGTGATCAATTTTTTAAACAGAGGTAAAGCTTACACATCACTTTTATGTCTGAATTGTGATTCCTTGGATTTAAAGAAAGATCTCATCTTTTCAGGTATGCCTTATCAGAAGTGCCTGAAAAAACACTGGTGCCTTCTTGTAGATAATTTGGATGTTTCCAGTATCCTCAACTACATGTTTCAAGAAGACATCATAAGCGGCCGTCAAAAAAATGAGATCAAGAGCAAGCATGTAAAAGAAGAAAAAAATGAAAAACTTTTGGAAATACTAATGACTGCTGGAGAAAAGGGGTTTCAAATTTTCTGTACTTCATTGGACCAAAGCGAGGGGTCTCAGTGGCTCGTTAAAAAACTGCGCGATGCTTGAATATAGTAAAGTTAAACCATAGATCTATACAGTGTGAAAATTGAAGAAAAATATCTAAAAAAAAATGGCTTATTATTTGTCAGAAACAAGTAAAACTTTCACTTATATACTCTAAATGGATGAATGCAAGGAAAGACAAAAAGACAGACAGATTTCTCTATGCATTTAATGTATGCATGTTAATTTTAAGTCAGACAGAAGGACAGTTAATTATCTTTTTGTAGAATGTTTCCATGTAAATTTTGTAAGTCCAACAAGCAATGTAGTCTTACATTCTCCAACAGAAGTATTCTTGACACATATTACAAATAATGCAATCATTATATGTTCATGTATGAGACTTGATGAACATGAAGTATTGCAAGAATTAAGTCTGCCAGAAACTCATTTGAAAGAAACTTAAAGGGATAATAACTCTTCGTTTTGGCCAAAAAATGAATTTTCCTGGAGTAAACAACAATTTTCCCGTACTTACCAATGGTTAATGAATCCATTTTTACATTCAAAGTTAGTCCCTGGTTTTTTTCTAAAAAGTTTGGTTTTTTGTTAAAATCTCTTAAGAGATTATAACAGAGTATAGCCATCAATGGAGGTCATGTGGTCTGAAGACAAGCTCAGATATCAGAATAATGGCTTTAACTGCTGTTTTTGTCTTAAAACAGAATATATTATATTTCTATGAGTTATTCACAATGTTTTTATTGTGAAATATAGACCTCATACGAAGAGTTATTATCCCTTTAACATGCACTGATTTGTCCATTCAGGTAAGAGCACAATATACAAACTACACTTATCAGTATTTTTAATTTGACTGAAGAATGCCAATTAAACACATTTGCAAACAAAAATTAATTATTTTTAATCATTGGTTTGTGTTAAATTTGTGGCACATAATTTGTAGACACAGTCAACAAAAAGGAAACAGTCAATAGATGGCACTCTGGTCTACTCACAGACTCTATAACCTCACAACATTGATAAAGCATTTTGATTGGACTAGCAACTTGAGTCGCTACAATGTATTCATGTTCAACAAGCCGGCAACAATTACATAAACATAAATGTTGAGAGGCGGTTTTCTATTTCACAATATACCCAATATTACATGAAGCACAATTTCACTGAAGGGCTTTAATGAAATAATTACTTCAACCATTAAACATATTACCAACTATCTAAAGACACTGAAAAATAAGATAGAAAAAACTGATTTTAAATTTGTGCTGTTCAAAAAAATTATGTGAATGAAATAATCACAATTTTTTTAATTAAATGGGCAAATTTCGGCTTGTAATTAACAAGGAAATTGAAAAATAAAGCAATATCATTAATTTTTCAAATTACAAATTGTCATGTCTTGGTTTAAATTTAAAGATTATATTTTGTAAAACAGAGTAAAATACTCGACTGTTTGTTTTCACCTACCGTAACCAAAAATATTATTTAGTTTTGGAACAGTGCAATTTTTGATTTATTATATATGAAAAAAATAATTAATAAAAGAGAGAAACAAAAATTCAGTAGCAGTTTACTTAATATTCCTCGATATAAGATTATTATAACAAAATTGAAAAATGAAAAAATATATGTAAGCACTGCTTGACCGAAAATTGTTATTGATATCACAAATCAAACTATGTAATTAGATGAAGCAAACAACTTCACTTGATTAAAACCAAACAAAAGCTGACCATTCCCATTTATATGCAGCTGACACAGTTGAACCGTGTCCATATGACCATAATAAATTATCAATAATGACCAATATGACATAACCCCCTGTGAGAGGGGAAGCAGGTGCTTGTTTACGTCAAGTGCCCCTTGTGGAAATGGTACCGCTTTGGTCGGCAGGCCCATAGTGCTTATACACACTTGAACTGTATAGCAACAGAGCTGGTAGCCATTCAGTGTCCATTCACGGTGATTTCTGTACATTTCAGCCTTTCTTTGTTTCAGAACAAACTCTTTACTTTTCGCCAACCAGTTCAAGTAGGAGAATTTATGAATATGATTTTAATGAAGAAAACTAAAATGCACCATGCATGAAATTTCAAAAGTTTGCATAGAAAAAGCCGATTGTGCCCATGGTCTAAGTCATGCAAACACGGCATTGTGTTCACACGCTGCGCCTCAGAAGCACAAACAATCAGAAGAATGGTGCACCTTTCTAATCACAACATCTCCTTTATGCAGGTAGCAAACCTCAGTGTTGATTCAAAACAATTTTGTGAAATGAGCATAAAGTGAAATGTGTTTGGCGTGAAACCAAGATCATTGTTCTGTATATTAACCAGACGTCTGAAAAACAGGTTGTTAGAAGTTCAGAAACAGCAATGAGACATGACGGGAGATGACGATGAAACTAACCATTTCTGATAAACACAGATTCCAATATGGATAATAAGAAGGAACAGGAACTGAAAAAGAACTTGGATTATTTGTGTAAACATTTGATTACTTCAGATGACTTCTACAGTGCCTGTAACAACGATGGTCTCTGTGATTATGCCACAAAACGATTTATCAAGGTGAGGGCTATGTCCAAACACAACAAAATGGCTTCCAGTAGAAGCTAACCAGTGCATTGTATGTTCTTACCTGTAAGATGTTAAGTGAAAAGATCTAGTTTTTTCCCTACCATCTCAATATATAAATACTTTTGAAAAAATAACGTGACAAGAATATTTTGATAAAGTTCACACAGAAATTACCGATGAGCTTCCATACCTCTTGTCTACATGTTAAATTTAATACAAACTTAAGATATTTTTTCAATGGTGAGCAACCCATATTTTATTGTTATTAATTTTTATTGCCTCCAATTTAAATATTTTATATCTAATAATTATCTTGAATGGCAAAGGGGGCAGATTTTGTATCAAACTTAAATGAGTTTTGTGAATGGTAAGCATTATACAACTTACACAAGTTTCAAAACAATAAAAACACAAGAGGTTCATAAAGGTGTCACAGATTGCAATAAATTTCATTTGAAACAGGTGAAAAAATAAAAAAAAATTCATTTTGATTTTGTCCTGAATGAAAAAATACACTGAATTCCACTAAATTAGTTTAATTGAATTTTATCCCAATATAATTAGTCCTGTAAGGAATTGACCATTTCTGGTTTCTCAATGCAGTGAAATAGAGTGGGTCTCTTCTAGTGTCACCACTCAATGCAGTGAAATAGAGTGGGTCTCTTCTAGTGTCACCACTCAATGCAGTGAAATAGAGTGGGTCTCTTCTAGTGTCACCACTCAATGCAGTGAAATAGAGTGGGTCTCTTCTAGTGTCACCACTCAATGCAGTGAAATAGAGTGGGTCTCTTCTAGTGTCACCACTCAATGCAGTGAAATAGAGTGGGTCTCTTCTAGTGTCACCACTCAATGCAGTGAAATAGAGTGGGTCTCTTCTAGTGTCATCACTCAATGCATTGAGATAGAGCAGGAATCTTCTAGTGTCAAAACTCAATGCAATGAGATAGAGATGTCTTTTAGAGTTACTGCTCAATGAATTTTTTGTCAAGATGTTCAAATCAAACAGGAATTTTAATTTGTGTACGTATATATATATAATGTTTTCACAATATATTCAACAATAGATAATTATAAAGAGGGCAAACAGTTAAGTTTTTGTTATTAAAGAGAAGCTTATAAGAAAAATAACAAGATTTTACTCTGGGCTTTATCTATTAACATCATTTTAAAAACCTTTTATTGTCAAGATTCACAAAATGAAAATAAAATAGCAGAATTAATTAGCATTCAATATACATTTAAAACCATAATTCACTTGAAAAAAAAACTGATGGAATTTATATATAAATCACTCAAAACTAACTTTTTTTATTATTAATCTATTATGTAAAAAACATCAATATAAAAACTGTAAAGACAGGAGTGTTTTTGAACTGATGAAGCCTGGCAATCTGATTTTTTTTATTATAGGTTTTCTAAAAATATATTACTTAAATTACTGTACTTACTAACTAACACTAACTGGTATACAGAAAGAAAGAAAAAAAATCAGATGAGTGGATATTTTAACCTAATAGTAATATCCATATCTCCATTACCAACCAGCAAACTCTGGAAATATCCCCAGTGAATGTTAGAAAATGAAGATGAAAGATTCCTGGCAAAGTGCATTCATAAATGATAAGATACCTGAAGCAATATGAATAGACTATTTCATAGTCATTTTTCATGGTACAATTAGTTTTCTGCTTTCTTATTAACACTTAAATCAACATCAAACGTAAGTCAAACCACAGGGCAGTTTCACACTTAAGAGTTTGATTTTTACATGAATCAATAACAAAGGCAAATCAATGAGGAGATAAAGCTCTCCAACTAAGTGAAACGACATTCCCTCTAACGGTGGTTACAATTTTCCCATGGGTAGTTTTGTCTCCAAAAACATGTCAAGTTAACAAACACTGTTCTTTTCTAAAGGTAAACCTTGTTGAGGTTGCGCCCAGCATTCGGGTCATTTGCCAATGCATAGTTAAGGTCACTGGCGTAAGCAAGTGCAATTGAAAAGCTAAAGAAAGTTTGTTTTAAGTTAAGTCACCTAAGTTCACAACGGTGTTTTTGATGTGCTAGTCAGGTGGTTGGCACTAGGCCATGACTGTATGCAAATTTTTTGTTTAGTTTTGCCAAAAGACAGCAGCAAGAAGAGAATATACTGTATTTGCATTTCCCTCTTTTACCGCGGTGCTTTAGGCTGACTTAGAGCCTACCCATTGGACTGAACATCTGAAGTCACTTTATCTTTGTACCGTTTATTTACTTTGCCTCCTCTCTAAGTGCAACAGTCATGTTTGCAGTTAGATTAGAATAGAGCCAATTGCATTTAGAAATGTATTAGTGGCGAGCATCACAAAGCCTGTCAAATATGAAACACAATAGCTTATAACAATATTTTTGTAATGCATGAGTGTTACTTTTTACATCAAGGATTTTTGAATTGCATCAATATAATCATTTCACTTAAAACCATGCATAATTTCTACAAGAAAATCCCAAACAATTAAATTTACTAAATTAAACACACCTGTTTGGAATACTTTTTTTTTAAAACAATTATTCTAATTCAAAGATATGGTACATACTGTAAGTAAATGACAATGATCCAAACTAAAACCCAATTCTAGTATTACTACAATGTTGAAGATATCAATCTTTCACAAACTTCATCATTTTCTCTTGAGATAAAGACCTATTCCAACTGCATTCTGCATGAAAGAATAATTCAAATGTGTCCTTTTAAGCCAGTCTTAAATAAAATAAAAAAAAAACTGTGGAACGGATAACTATCATAAAGCAGTGGCTTCAAACTTGGATAGACCAGTGTATTCCATACAATATTTTGGATGTATTGTTATGCCCATAATAAGCCAGGGAAAAGTAGTGACCCAATGGGCCAAGTCAATAGAAATAGGAGCAATTGTATCAGTCTGCATATTTAATGAATTATATTCAAACACCTGCAAAGATCAGACTTTCACTATAAAAGCAAACATACCGCACAAGAAAGCCCTTGGGAGACTGTTAATAACTGAGAGTGAATGTAATCAGTGGCAGTTAATCTAAATCATTGCTGAGACAACAATGGGGCCTTCAGCTAACAAGACCAGAGAAAAGGTTGTCAAGACGACGACCAAATCCAAGCGGAATCTGTCTGGAACGTTCATCTTACAATGCATTCCCGCTGGAAAGCTGCCGTTACATCACATTAGATGAAATCATGAAATCAATAAGACAGGCTTTCCTGTTATCTTCATTGATTTTTTAGATGAGTGATTCATGCAGAATATCAGATGTATCAAAATGTCAAAAGTGAATAAAACAAGCTTTATGAAAATCTCCATGTCTAATACCAACTATCAGTTGGCAGACCGTGTTCTAAGATCAAATAGATGACTTAATAAATATTTTTAAACATTAGTCATATATTGTAAGTTTATCATTAGCCATGATTGAGATGGCACTTTCACAAGCAATTTGTTCAATTATTGACAAAATGCATCTCTCAATCAAATACCAACTATCAGAGCAAGTCTACAAATTCATTGCTGATTGGCAGACTGCAGTCTTAAGTAAAATAGATGACCTTATAAATAACTTTTTACATAAGTCATAATTTTAATAGCAGCAATGATTGTGGTGCTACTTTCACTGGCAACTTTATCAATTGATGGCAAAATATATCTCTCAGTCAAATACCATCTGTCAGAGCAAATTTACAACTTCAGTGGTGATTGGCACACTAAAGTCTAAAGTGAAATAGATGACTTTATAAATAACTTATTACATAAGTCATAAGTTTATCAGCAATAATGATTGAGGTGCTATTTTTACTGGCAATGTTGTCAATAACTGGCAAAATAAATCTCTAAGGCTGTATTCCCAGGGCTTTTAGATCGATCTATCCCCGCGGGGAGTCTCACTAGATTACTGTCAGATAATCCAGCTTAAATGTCCGTCCCGCCTACTACAAGCTGTAAGGGGGTAATTAACTTTCGTGTCCGCTCGGCTGACAGCTATTTAGCGTGAACCCCCAGGGAGTTAGGTCGATCTAAAGTAGATCGATCTAATCTATAGAAATGGGGTCTAAGTCAAATACCAAAACAAATCTACAAATCACTGGTGATTGGCAGACAGAAAGTAAAATAGATTTCTATAACTTTTACAAGCAATCCTACATATTCAACTGCTAACAAAATATATCTTCATTTCTTTACGTAATTATGACAATATGGGTCTTAACTGCAACAATTCTGGCCATTCTTTAGGAGAATGCCAAGAGCCAGGTTCAGGAGATTGCCACCTTCCTACACAGCATGGTGCCACTGGGAGGGGTGGGGCTCACCAAGCTGGTCACCGTCATCAAGAATACCCAGCAGGACTCGGAGCAACACCTCAGGCAGATGAACTCCGAATTTCTCACAGAAGGTAGGAAATTATTCTTCAAAAAAATTCTCTGTTCTTTAATTCACTAAAAATTATTTTGTTGCAATATATTGAAGTGATAAATGGTGCAAATAGTGTTTCAATTAGACCAAAATTTAGCTTCAAAGTTTCGCATTTTCTAAAATGAGGATAGTATATTTGTAAAGCAGAATTATTAAAGAAGATGCCTTGGAAGTTAATTTTCTATGTCATTTATTTTATCATTTAAATTTTATTATTATTATAATTATTATTATTATTATTATTATTACACTAAGTATCTCTTCATTTTAGCATGGGAGCGCCATCAGACAGTCATCATCAGGATCCTGCTAAGCATACAGTTACGGGAAGTAGAGGCACGACTTTCAAACAACATGACAACAGCAGTTACACTTCACACATCAGAATCTGGAGATGATAAAAAGCTAGATGAGAAAGCCTTCAAAAAACAAGAAATGGTACTAAGGCAGAAGATCAAAATGCAAGAAGAAATGATACGCCGACAGTACAAAGAAATAGCCAAAAGTAAAGAGGACGCCTCAAATTTCAAAGAGGAGATAGAGAGCTTGAAAGTACTTTTAGTACAGACTGCTGCCAAAATCCCACCCCCTCCGCCACCAGAGCCCGAACCTGAGCCAGAGCCAGAGGTACCTGATTCTGAGCCTGAAATGACAGTTGAAATACAACCTGAGCCAGAACCAGAGCCAGTTATAGAACCAGAGCCAGAGCCAGAGCCTCAGCCTGAATATGCAGATGCAGAAGTCGGGACAGAATATGTCCAAACTTCAGAATCTGAAGTCCAGACTGAGGAAATCATAAAGGAATTCAACAGTGTGCAATCACAAACCACTGCAAAGTTTGTGGAGATTGACAAACTTCAAAAACAAATAGATGCTCTAACAAAGAAAATAATTCTTATCAAAAACCAAGAACTGCCTTTCAGACCAAAACCTGAGGCAGCTAATAGGTTCCCTATTGCAGCTCTTCCTGGCAGAAGTTTTGAAATGCCAAGCCAAGAGCAACATGCACAACTGGGGAATCTAGGTAGCCATACTGACAGACCTAATCTCATCCAGTCCAACAACAAAATGAGACAAGCTAAATCAGCCCATCCAGTCCGATCCAAGCCGTTCTTACCCCTGTGTACACCCCAAACAACAGAGAGACACAAAATGACCCGCAGAGTTTCAGAAATAGGTGCTGTGATTTCCCTGGAGAAATTCACTTTTAATTTTCCACCTGGTGCAATGAAAACAGAGGCAACTGTGGGCACTGCTGAATACCAACCCACCATGTTGCAAGTTGAGGAGCTGGCGCATGGAGAGATGTTTGATCAGATCAGACCTGGACGGCGATTCACTATTAGCAGCAATCCTGACACTGAAGTTAAAGAAATCATAGTAACCACAACAATTCCTTCCAATCCAGAGTTTGCTCAATCCCAAAACGAGTCACTAGTCTTGCACAAGTCCAGGAACAGAAGACGGCGAATGTCTGACGGTGATATCGAACCATTTGAGGATGTGACAGACAAGTGCCATTCACAAATGTCAGATTCTAACAAAGTTGAATATACCATCCAAGACTTTGGTGACTACCAGGAGTACTGGGTGGTCCAAATGGAAAAAGACAAAGAGACCATTCGTAAGCTCAGAAAGAAATTGAAAAACCTGAGAAACCTTGGTGTGTGTATGTGTGACTTCTCTGCATTCCTGCCACAGGAGATTCCTGTGCGCACCCTGACAATAGTCTGCTCAAACCAGGAAGTAGAAAAGATGGCGCCACTGTTAAGGAAGTACCACCAGGCTCTGCTGAACTGTGGTTACCAAGCTGGCAGGCTCTGCCTCCACCATGAAGATGCCCTCATTTTCAAGGATGACAACAACGCAGAACTGTTATATTGTAACATAGACATGCAGCGTGTCCGAGGCAAAGGGCAGGAGTTTAAGGTGACCCTAGAAAAGGGAATCTTGCCAAAATCTATCCAAATTGACCGAGTGACGAATGGAACGCAGATGACAGCAGCTGTGTTGGAAATTGCTACAAACAAGCGATCTTTCCATGGTAGATCCAGTACAACTTAGCAGTGTCAATTCAACTGATAGCCCAAATGTAGAGCTGAACTAATTATCTCCACTTGAATTAGTAAAATATGAAATAACATGAAGTAGAGACGCACATATTGATAGATTAGTTTGATAAATTGATGGTCTAGGGTATTTGTTTGATAAATTAATGGTCTAGGGCATTAAATGTGAAATCTTGCTCACCGCAGTGACTGAAAGTCACAGTAAAAAGGGTGCTATACGTGATCCATTCCAATTATTGATCTCTAAATTGTGTCTGGTGTTTGAGTGTTTATTTATGTGACCATGAGCCACGACATGATGGGAAATTATTTTAGAATATGTCATTTGTATCTTAAATTTTGTCAAATGTTCATTTGTGTGTATTAACAACCATGTTAAGACATATGGGGAGGGCAAAAATGATAACAGATGCAGTTAGGGTTATTTATTTTACACAGTGGAAATAGGCTAGCCATTCAGTTTTACCTTGAATATGCTATCCTGCTGCTGGGCTGTAATCCCAATGTCTCCCATTGCCTCCCTCGTCTGTCTCCAACTTTGTTGGTCTTCTGTTTAATAATTATTAGAAATAACAGTTAGACTAGAATCAGATGACTAACCATTTAAACAGTTCTATCTGACAGTAACAAGGAATATTGCATGTACACACATCTCATTTAAGACTGACTGATATTTTTATACAAAATAGAATTCTACTTCTAACAGTGGAAAGAAATTATCAAGCTCAAAAACACATGATCAGTTTTTCCATAATAAATACAAAGTGTTCAGCTATGTATAGTCGTGGGGAAAAATCACCTGTGCATGCGCCATGATTTGTAATCATTTTAAACAAGGAGTCCTTGCGTCCGAGCCATTCCTCCTTCTCCACATCATTTCCCCCATTTAACATCTGAAATACAGTACATGACATTAGTATCCTGTTCACTTCTTGTAATGTAGGCATTCATCTTCTAGTGAGTATACTGTAATGTACTAAAATGTGTGTGTGTGTACAATATTAAATTCCATTTTCATTGCTGTAGAGATGCATTTCCTTTAGATTTAATTTATTTGATATTGGAGTTATTGAATTTATTACAGTAGTTTGGTTCAGTTTATCATTTTTTTCTTGTTTTTTCCCCATAATTGTCCATCAACTTTGGTTAGACCATGTATATTACTCATGCTCAATTGTGTGCTATATATTTAACATAACATTGTGCTGAAACAGTTTTTTATTAACAATTTTACATTGGAATATTAACATGAGTAGGTTTAGTTTTAATTTAATGTTTAGCTTGTTTCACATTAACAGTTTCGGGAAATCATTTATGTTTGACAAGTGAGAATTTTTTTCACAGCCCTAAGTAAGTACATGTATGTGCAATTCTCTATACTGTAAAGTATGCTTTGTGGCCATTTACCCGTCTGCTTTGGCAAAGGGTGCCCACTTTACCATTTTATTTATTTAAAGAATAACTTCTGTGTTCAGAGCTGTGTTCAAGTTTCAAGTGTATTATACTATGTAATGCCTTTCAAACTGATTGCTAGGCTGAAAATAAATAAACAATAAAAATCCAAACACTGCTTATTTATCATTTTGAAAATAAATAGGATTGTGCATGATGTGCTTCATAAAAATTATTCAAAGCACTGAGAAGTCTTGTTAACAACCATTACCTGATAAAATATGTGGAAATTCCTCTCATTTTCTGACTGATGAACAACTCTAGTTTTCTCCAAGAGATATGTTTGGATGGAAGCACCAAGAATCTGACCATTCCTGGAAAATTAATATGAAATATCTATCTAAAGCATATACAGTAACCCACCATAAATTTTCTTAATATTTTTTGAAGATTTAATTTATCACTTAAAATCTAAGATACACAGATAAACCTTGAATGGGAAGCAGAAAAACGGCTCATTTTAAGTAATGCTTGTATTTTAAGTAATTCATGCTTGACATAATACCCCATTAAAAACTAAAATTTTAAGTGAGAATTAAAACTGTGTCAAGTACAGTAGCTTCCAATCTGTCCCTCAAATTACCTCTGAAACTGTAACTGGATGTATTTTCCAAACCGCGAGCTGTTGCTGTTCCTGCTGGTGCTTGCATTTCCTAAAATAATAATAATAATGTTTATTCGCAACTAAAATAGTTGGATTGTACAATATATAAGATATAAAGTAAAATTTAAAAAATGTGAATAAGACTCATAAAATGTTTAATTAAAAGTGTTAAATAGACAAAAAAAATTTTAAAACTAATATAACGAATTTTTATGAAAATATATGCTGTTCCATTCAATACTTCTTATCTTACCAAATGCTTCTAAAATTGGATTGGAATCTAAGATCCTGCTTTCAATTCTTGTTCCAGTATCACTGAAAATAGAAGTGGTAAATAAATATCACAATTTGTGTTCATATATTTGAAACAGTAATTGACATACTTTCATGAATAGTTATCTTTATGTTGACATTAAACACAAATTATTATCTACATAAGCATAACCAAAACTGCCAGGTTTCCTAAACTCATTTTCATTTTAAAATCTCCATCAGTGATTTCAATTTCAGTGATTTTTTAACCCCAAATTAAAAATCCTGTTGAAATCTACTTAATATATGTTTACATTCAGTACTTACCCAGCATTGGAGTTGGATATACTGGTCAGGTATTTCATCAGGTGTTTGGCAGTGACAGTCTAAAACAATGCAAAATAATGATGCTATTAATGAAAATTCAAAGTTGTAGTGTCTAAGTCTAATAAGGTATTAGAAGCAATATCATAAAATATAACTGTATTTTCTGGTATTAATATAAATTTATAAAAATAAACAGATGATTTTCAAATAACTTGCTTTGTGTGACATTTTTATGATGGGAAAAGTTCTCTTTAGTCGAATACCCCAAAACAACCAAATTGACAATTTTTCATAATTGCACAGCATTTATTGTTGTATCATAAACCAATAGTGACATGCAGATTATTTCTCTTGGTGAAAAAAAAACCCAACTCAGTATCTCCCAGTACAATTATCACCATCACACCTATTGCATCTGGAGTACATTTCTCCTGTGAGCCTATCTCTGCAGAAAATAGTATCTGGATCACTACCGTCACATCTACCACAACCATTGCCACTTCTCTATTACTCTACTCTATGTTATTCTTTCTCTCTCTCTTATTTTCACAATCCAATTAAAACCATCCCAGCCTCAAATGCAACTGCTGATATTGTGAAACTATATATACTTATAATGTCAGCTTAGAGAGCAATAAATAAGTGACACACAAAACATGTTGATTTTATACTGGTATATAAAGGACTGTAATTCAACAGTACTTATAAGAGAATACAACTATAAAAACATTCCTACAAAATATCTGTTAGCTTTTATGGGTTGCTATGCTGCATTTAGTCATCTTTGCATCTAGTCTCTTACTGTAGCTGACCCCACCTCCTATAGATCTCATGTGATTTCCATCACTTCTGTCTCTCCTACGGGGCTGTAGCAAAAGTCTGAAAGTTCATTGGTCCAAATGTTCATAACAGACACCTTCGGACCAATTAATTAAAAAACTGATGAAAATGTTACCACTTTTTGGAACCAATGAACCTTTGGACCTTCTCAAGACGTCCCCTCTTCTACCACAGCATGTACTCACCTTTCCAGAGCCACTCTCTCCGCTGACTATGACACTCTGGTTCATTCTCCCCACTTGTTGCCTCATGTGACTGTAGGCTTCCTGGGCTATGGCAAACACATGGGGGGATAACACCTAAAAGATTAACAAACCCCAAGTCACAGACATAAAACCAAATTTTAACAGCATAGGCCCCATTCAGAATAGGGGACTAACTAGTCCGAGGGTCAAATATGGTCAACCCACTTTGCAGAACACTTCCCCATGGAATATCTATTCAATGTCTTTTAGTGAATTAGATGGAAAGCTTTGTAGTGGGTCGCCATATTTGACCCTTGGACTAGTTAGTCCCCTATTCTGAATGTGGCCATAGTCAGACACAATCTTGAATGTATCAATTACTTAATCAAACATATTCAATGCAATCTACAGCATCTTTATTTCAATTCCATACAATCAAGTTGGATTAGTGCTTGTACATGCAAAACTGAAGGTTTGTTTTAGCAATGTTCAATATTAATTGATATTTCAATATCATTTAGCCGTCTAATTATTATGAATACCTTCCTCTGTCCATGTAACTGGTGGTAGCGGTCAATGACTTCTTTTTTATATAATGAAGGGACATCCTTGAAAGGATTAATGGCCACCAAGGTGACCCCTGCCCTTGTGTAAAACACATCTTGTTGGTATCTTTTCTTCAAACACTGGAACACTGGATTAAAAAAAAAACACCGTTAATTTATACATCACAACAGTGTGTGTGTGTGCATGTATGCGTACATGTGCATGTATGCATATATGTGTGTGTGAGCTTACTTGTGTACACAGTCAGGATTCCCCCTATGGTAAACTAGAAACTATAACAGGTTCCATGGGTTTTAGTTGTCTATCTTCAACCATATCTGCTTCAACATCTTTAAATGTATGTACATGCCTTTGAGTAAACATACCTGAGGCACAGGTAAGTGGAGTTAACAGAGTGAGATCCTCTGTGGAACCATAATCACATTCATTTCTCAATGCAATATCCTTATGTTTTACCCATTGTTCCTGTAAAAATGAAAGAAATGAAATTTTTTTATAAAATGTCAATTCCAATATTTCTATTGTCATGAAGTGAAAGCTGCTTGTGGGGAAATAACTTTTTTTAACCAAATCAATAATACAGTGATGAAAAAAACATCATTATCCATTCTCATATAAATGCAAGATTTTCATATATTAATCATCACATATTAAATTCCCCTTTAAGACAAACAATAGATTTCCTACAAGAATACTCTCGTGTGCTGATCAATAATTGCAACAAAGGAAGTACTAAGCCAAATTTTAGTGTAAGCTGACACCCACATTTTCAATAAAAAGTAAAATCTGGACAGTTCTGTACACACTGCGATTGCTTGGTACAAAATTGAGAAATGTTCAATGAAAACAGCTGCAATTCTCAAGAAACATGGCACAGCTAGAAAAGAACAGCATGGTTCTCAAGAATGCTTTTCCAATTTTGAATAGAAATATCTAATCAAGTTCCTTTTCAAAGTAGAAGCAACAACTGACCAGCAAGACACAGACAGGAATAGAGTCAGAAGAATATACATCACTAAGCATGTGATTGAAACTTTCTGAATGCTTTTTGAGCTAACGCTATTAGTCTGACTACCTCAGGGATTTTAGGCCTAATCATCCAATCTTAAGTCATGAATACACTTTTGAAAGTGCATTTATTCTAAGAACTAAGGACCTTTTGGTTTGTACCTGTGCTGCCCACTGAAACAGCACTTTGAATCATCATAAAAAGATGGTATGAATAAGCGAGGACTGATGAGGCTTC